CATTATCAACACACTAACGTAGTGCCGTTATATTATTTTATTTTATAACCCATTTTGAATTTACTCAAGCATTAATTAAGGTCTTTACTTTGATCTATCGTAGTAATTGAGCATCACTACAATTATTAGCAAATCACAAGAATAGTACTTGAGCGTATTTAACAATATCGTCATTCGCATTATTGACTTTTGTTTAAAATGTTATGAGAATAACTAAAATTACGTAATAATATTTGTTCACTATTTCGATCACTAAGAGATTGCATCTGGGTGGATGCTTGAGAACACCCAAATTAATTATGAACAATAAAATTTTAATGAATGAAAACAGCATTTCTCAAAGATATCTAAAAGTTATTTGTATCGGATTTGTGTCTTTTTTAATTTCAAAAAATGCATCCATTTCGTCTTATTATAACTTAAGTCTATAGTATTTAGTTATTCAAACTATTCGCGTAATATCTTTCAAAATTTTTTATAAAAAAAAAATTCTTAAAAAAAAATTTTTTCATATAACTTACTTAAAACCATATTTTAACACGGAAAATAATAGTGACCTTACTTTCAAAAGGATCCGCTTTGAAAGTTAAATAAGGTCTCTATACAATATTTACAACATATTTCTACTATACAAGATCTGTAATTTGCGAATTACAAGAAAGAGAACCTACAGTGTACATACAGGACAGTTAGTGAAATGCACGGTGAAAAATTTTATCCAAAAAATAAAGACATACGTACGTACATATAAATAAAGGTCTGAGATATAAAATTGATTTGTGCGGATTAATGTGGCTGATTACTACGTCAATAACCTAGAATACATTCAAGAAATGCATATCGATATATTGAGGTCCGTGATATAATCTAGATCTCTAATCTACTATTGTAACCCTAATTTCTCTTTCAAAAGTCTAAAACTATTACTATATTACGGTATAGATTTGATAGTTTTTTCTTTTTTTTTTTTTAACCTCCATAGGGTGTACTTTATTTCACCATGCTAAAGTTACATCATGATACAATTATATTAGGTATTAATAATTATTTACATGTGCACGAGATGTATTGTCTATTACTAAATGTTGAAGTAATTTATTTAGTTCTTTCCTATTGTTATTTTTCATCTCTTTTAGTGATTTTATTTCCTTACTAATTCTGTTTTTGACTGAATATGTGAGTATCGATCTTGGCACTCTCTTCCCTCCCCATTTAGTTTGTGTATACCAGCACCAGATTTCATAGATTGTATTGATATTTAACCACAGTGCTGCCTTTTGATTGTTTATTTGCCTCACATTTTCCCGGTAACTATTTCATCCATTGATTTGAGGACTTCATTCTCATTTCTCCCTTTCATCAGACTATAAGATGCTTCCCATATTTTTTGGCTAATCGTGCATTTAAAACCGAAGTGTTCCGGAGTTTGGACTTCTTCAAGGCACACTGGACAGTTTCCGTTCTCCTCTTGTGACATATGCACAAGCCTATAGCCGAGCGGCAACGCTCTGTGTTGAAATCTCCAGAAAATGTTCTTCCACCGATTATTGACACATTTTATATGCATCCAGCCCATTCTTTTTGTTGTGAGTTTGTTTGTGCTGCCGTTGGACGTAGGCGTTTTTTTATTTAAATATTCAGAGCCCTTCTTGGCGGTATATTCTGCAAGCAAAAATTAGCCCAACAGTTATTTTTGACCTTCATGTCCTTTAACATTTGCTATATTTATGTTCTCTAGTTTCAAAGAACAGGAATTTGAGTTTGGGCTGACTGAACCTTCTATACGTTTTCAGGCAGTCAGGTATGGTTTCCACAACTCTGGCCATGCTTGCATTTTAATTGGTGTGCTATTAAGGGCCGTTTTGATGCCTATATTTCTTTTATCGCGGAGGATTTGATAGTTTTAGTGCAGCATTTTAAACAGGTTTTTGTAGTATTATTGTAGTACTTTAGTTAAAATTAGAGTGTTAGTTGTTATTAGTGTGACCCATTTCCGAAACACATTTATTCTGGGCGGTTACGTAACCACTTTAGCAACCACTTTAGCAACAATGATAAACCTGATCTCGAAATTTGATTGGCTGTATTTAAGTGAATATTGCATAAAAAGGTCGATCCTATTACGCCATTTCATCAAATTTTTATCTCGATTACTAATAGTGAAGATC